CACGAAATCTGCAAACGAGCCACATGTCCAAAAGTCACGATTCACTGCGCCTGTCACGAAATCTGAGCTCCTCGACGATCACCACCATGTCCAAAGTGCTGCACCTGCCACGAAAACTGCTTTTCGAAGCAAAACACCTCCGATCCTTGCACCTGTCACGAAAAGTCGACTTTGGAGCACCAAAACACGAGGTTTCCCTGGCGCCTGCCACGAAAAGTGACCACCATGTGCGAAAATGTGCACGGCGCCACAACGAGAGCGCAGTCGCCAGAAGCACCCGCCGCAGACACTCAGATTCTGCGAGCCTGCGCAGTCGAAGTGCACATGGAAGATGTCGAGAGGCATGAATGCACTGTAAATAGCAACGAATTAGCCGCGCGCCTCAGCGATCTCAGTCCAGCCCAACCAGCCAGCCCAACCAGCCCAGCTCAGCCAGCCAGCCAGCCTCAGCCCAGCCAGCCCAGCATGCCAGCTAGCCCAGCCAGCCAGCCTCAGCCAGCTAGCACCCACCGAGCCACCCACCCACCAATGTGAATATTAATATCAAACTTTGCAATTTCTATTGTTTTTCTGCTGTTTGCAAATGCTTGGATCAGCTTCCAGATTCAACAAACAATGATTTTTGAATTTTTTGTTGTGTCTTTTTTTTGGGGGTTTGTGCTCACTGTTAGTGTAACGAGGCAATGTACAAGATATAGACAGATAGATAGACAGATAGACAGACAGACAGACGGATAGAAATAGACACGGGGAGACAGGTAAAACGAAGATGGGTACAGATACATAGTCAGAGAGGCGCGCAAAGAGATATGTAGATAGACGCAATCTCGGTAGTTAGGTTTTGATGGGGTGGACATGTATTGCGTACCATGTTAATATTATTTGGGTAAGGAACATCAAAACGTATGCAGGTTCATAGGTTGGAATGATAAAGACAGACGGACAAACGAGATACAGCGTTGGCAGATACAATTGCAAACCATAGAAAGGAATCAAGAAAGGTGATTTTAAACGTGTGTAAGAACAGGAAGGAGGGTGTTTAGGGGGAAAAACAGGTGCACAGGGTGTGCGCAACGTCCCTTTGACAACACAGCTCTTCTGATTCTGTTTGCAGAGACTTTTGATGTCACTCTGGCATCGTTCAGTCCTTCAGCTTCGTTTCCAGGTGTGCAGCTCCCGAGGTGGACCGTTGCTCCACTTTTGTGCCGGCCAGGGAGCCTACAGGGCCAAAACCGCCTCAGAAACCTTCGTCATGAAAAGTCGGCTGCTTTGCGTGTGACACTTGGCCTTTGCGGCTTTGCGCCGCATTGTTCGCGTGGAATCGCATCATGTTTCGGTCGCAGCCGCAGGATGAGTGTGACTTTGAGCCCGGCTCCTCTTGTTATGTTTTTTGCGTCCTTCTGCCATGTCAATTGTGTCTGAACTGAGGCATTGTTTTTGGGTAGCAATCAACTCTCACATCTCTGTGACATCGACGGTTTGATTCGCCAGGGCAAAAATTTCCGCATGGAAAACCCGGATGGTCAGGCTTTCCCACAGGCCGTGAAATGGCGTGAAACGGCCCGTGTCGTCGCAAGGCAGCCGCGGAGTGATATATCAGGTTTCCGTGTTGATCGTTCTGTTCATTGTCATTGATCATTGTTGATCGTTGTGTGTTTCCATGTGTTCGGACTCTGGGCAGGTCGATTGGGATTCAAACTTGACCAACATCACCGCCTTCATTCCGGCATCTCGCCAATCTACCCTTTTTTGGGGGGCTGCCTTGCCTCACTTGTTTCTGCCATTGTCTCTCTTTTTTGTCTCTAGTGAAATAAGTGTTTTTCCACGTTTCAACAACCTGTTTGTAATCACCGTTCGTCAAGGATTGGCACAGCTATGGAGATGTCGTTCCCTACGCAGTTGCTTTCTGCCCAGCAGGTCTGCAACTAGACGTTGATTCATGAACACAAAACCGAAGGAACAAAAGAGCAAAAGCGAAAAACACATTTCAAGACTTCCCATAGACCACAGAAGCGTCAGAGCGCTTTGACCCATTGCCGCTTTGCCTCGGTTTCAGACAACACGGAAGCCGCTTTGCCTCTCTGGAGTCGAGCACGCAGAGTGCAGAGCGCCGCAGAGTGACGTAGAGCCGCATAGGCTCTATCGAATCTAAGTGCTGAATCCATGCTAAACAGACTTGTAACACGTGCTTCTTCATTTTTCATTACACATGGATTCTGAAGCAAAAAATGTTTGCCTCTGTCCCGTTGAAATTGACTGCGTCGGACTGACAAGTGAATCAGTCAGTTCATCTGTCCAGCCTGTCGACTTGGTCGACTCAGGTCCAGGGCCGCGGTGTATCATCGACTGCCCATATCCCACATACATCCCTCCAGGCGACGGCCCGGCTGGAGATATATCGTTACTAGTAATTAGTAAGGATGCTCCTAGTAGTATGGCCAGGAGCCCCTAGTAGCGTCGCTCCTAGCAGCGATGCCAGGAGCCCCTAGTAGCTTCTCGTTACTATAGATAAAACAATGCATGTGAAAACAAGAGTGGATTCGCTTCACCAGGATACAGAGAAAGGATGCGCTACAATCGGTGGCGCTGTGAAGAAGGATATGAGCTGCTCTGAGCTTTAGATGGCGCAACGGCTTTACAGTGACATGTGTGGACTGCTGAGACTGGGACAGCCCTCTTGCAGTGCACTTTGCACAGCAATTGTGTGGAAAGCTAAGTTTGTCGAAAAAGCGATGTGACAAAAAAAGCAAAGTTTTTTGTGCAAATAAATCCATCAGATGTTCAAATCGGGCTATTTCTGGTTATCGAACCTGAAAAGAGATGGAGAGAGCTTGGAGAGTAGTCGAAGATGAGAAAGCGTCGGAAGAGGAACATCAACATCTTGCAAAAAAGTATGATTCTGGATTGAGTTATGAGTTTTCCTCACGTGAGAAACATTCATTACTCAATCCATGAATAGCGTGAGCTTTCCTGAGTCCGGTAGCTTACCTCTCACTAATTATACTAAGCTACTATGCTAGTCTCGTCCCTTCTTTTGGGCTTCACCCACTTAACCGGACTTAACCCACTTGGGCAGTTGAGACGCGCACCGAGTCTGTGACCTCATGGCTTTCGGGTTGTGATGAGCTCGTGCCATGCGCGTGGAGCTGAGAAGCGGATGCGGCCCCGCATGTGCAAGCCCAGATGTCCGGAGCATTTGAGGCGTTGCCTTCTGTGGAGGATCCTTGCGTTTTTGACTTCGACTTGGGGAACTGCAGCAGTGCCAAACTTGCTTTGAAAGAGACGACTTCTTGAGACAACATGAACCACGTGTCAATCTGAAGTCCAGTTAACTTTAGACAATTAGTTAGTCATATAAATATTATAGAGGAATTAAGAAGACACTGCAAACATCGAGAAGTGTACCATGCAGGGGTGGTACTAGGGAATCCACATGTGATGGAAGCCGTTTTGCACCAAGCCTGCGAAAAGAAAAGTTGCGGGCAGACGCTAGGCGTAAAACTCGGGTAGAGGATCTCGAGGTGGATCCCCAAGCTGCCCTGCGCACCTGACGCGATTGCGACGCAGCGCCGGAGGCATCATCCAGGGGAGGATGAGGAAGACCTGGGCGCTGTGGATATGGTTCGGATGAAGGAGACGCTTGGCGGCCACCTACCTGAAGAGCTACGGCCGGTGAGGCTGTTCAGTCCGGAGCAGCAGACTTGAGGAAACAGGCATTTTAAATTGCACGGCAAGTCCAGGAGCAGGAGGACCAAGGACCAGAGCGACTTAGGCCGGCCTTGTTGCAGATAGCATTTTCTTGGGGCTCGACCTGGTGATCTTCCGACTCATAAGCCGGACGAGCCGCGTCCCAATGTCCAGCGACTTTGTGAAGAACTCCGAGATCTGCGGGTTGGCTTTGGCATATTGCACAGAGCTGGAGAACCAGACCTTTCAAGCACCGGAATGACAAGGGCAAGGGGTGCAGCAGTTCGAGCAGCTGCAATCGATGGGGAAGTCGACGCCTGGTGCATGAACCACAGACTGGTGAAAATATTTGGCAGCAGTCTGGGCCGTTGCGCACTCAAGCGACCCCAACAACACAGGGACGTGTTTCTGGACCGAACCAGGTCGGGAGAGATCCGACGAAGTAGAGAAACCGGCAACAGAAGGCTGGAAGAGAAGAACAGTACGACTCCCAAGGATTGGGTGGCTGAGGAGAGGGTCTAAACATCCAAAAGCGGATTGGCGGGGCCCAGGGCCGACCTGAGCTTTTGGCTTATGCCAACCTCGGGCTGGCGGTGTAGTGCGGGGGGATCTCGGGCCAAGGAGACCCAAAAATGCAACGAATTGTATACATCTATATACATCTATACTACTATATTCATCATAGTCCATGTTACTCCGCCTTATTCCTATATTGTTTTCCTATTTTGTGCACTTTTTCAAGGTGTCATGGGAGGAGAGAGCTGCGTGGTTGGATGCAAGTGGCCCCGATCTTGGGCAAATTTCAGAAGGCAACTTGCGCTTAGCATCTGTTAGAAGCGATGCACTTGTTACTAGTCGCTTCTTGTTACTACTGGTAAGGCACTGGTTACTAGAAGCGATGCACTTGTTCCTAGTAGCTTCTTGTTACTACTAGTAAGGCACTTGTTACTAGAAGCGATGCACTTGTTCCTAGAAGCTTCTTGTTACTACTAGTAAGGCACTTGTTACTAGAAGCGATGCACTTGTTCCTAGCAGCTTCTTGTTACTACTAGTAAAGCACTTGTTCTTAGAAGCGATGCACTTGTTCCTAGTAGTTTCTTGTTACTACTAGTAAGGCACTTGTTACTAGAAACGATGCACTTGTTCCTAGTAGCTTCTTGTTACTACTAGTAAGGCACTTGTTACTAGAAGCGATGCACTTGTTCCTAGAAGCTTCTTGTTACTACTAGTAAGGCACTTGTTACTAGAAGCGATGCACTTGTTCCTAGAAGCTTCTTGTTACTACTAGTAAGGCACTTGTTACTAGAAACGATGCACTTGTTCTTAGAAGCAAATTTTTTTTTCACTTTAACAAACTTCCAAAGTCAAAGAAGCTCCTCCCGTGCTCCCGAAGCCCTCCGAAGGCCCCCGAAAGCTCCGAAGGCTCACGTGCCCCAGGTGTCCCGCAGAAGATGGATCGCCCACCATCGCCTCTCCTCCCGACATGGAGTCAACGCACCCATCATCCTTTGAAGGAATCCTGTTGACTCCTTTCGATCTGCTTTTTAAGACGGGGCCTCCCTGATCAAATCGCACTGTGCATGTCAAAATAAACCCCTTTTTTCCAGGATTCCTCCAGGATCTGTGTATCCTCCCATTCGACTTGTCTCGTCCTATCCTCCCATCCTTAATTTGCAATCTGTCTACGTCTCACCTTTCGCCCACCGATTCTTCTCGTGTTCTCTCGATTTCTCTGGTGGCTCTGAGGCCCTACGTGGGAAGCAGCACTGTGGCCACGTGTGTCGAATTGAATACTGATCCTCTGTGCTTCAGCTGAGAAGGACATGTCAAACGAGGAATTTTGAACATTTTGAACAATTTTTTGTGCTAATTTTTTGAGACGGATTTTGTGTTAATTTCTTTATCGTTTTTCTTTTCTCAATCCTTTTCTTCAATATTCAGAATCGTTTCGTGTCTTGGACTTTCTGAATCTTACTCAAACGTATCAAAATGCTCCATCTCGAGGGGCACCTTTGGAACCACAATGAGACACCGGAAGAGTTTGTCGAGTGCAGACTTCTGGCTGCTTGTTCAGCGTTCTCCCTGTGCGACTCAGGCGGCCATTAGACTGGGAGATGCCGAGCTGCAACTTCTCCTGTCAAGATCCTGACCCACTGCCTGAAGGCACATCAAAACCGCTTCAAAATAGCAAATTGCAGATTTCGCGAAGAAAAAACGATAACCTTTTCGGGACAAACGAACAGGATATCTACGAGCGTCAGACGTCTCAAGCCACTTGGAAAATCGAGATTGGCAGGTTCGTATCTATATAGCTACTAGTAGCGACCGAAGCTTCCAAAATGGAATCGTTTCACCTGTAACAAAAAGCTACTAGTAACAAGTGCATCGCTAGTAGTAACAAGTGCCTTACTAGTAGTAACAAAAAGCTACTAGGAACAAGTGCATCGCTTCTAGTAACAAGAAGCTACTAGTAGGTCTTTGAAGCAGGAGCAAGAGGAATGTATATAGCTATCCTGCGTCCAGCTAGGAGCTTCCTGGTTAGCGTGGGCCCCACTCTCCTTAAGTAGGAACTCATTCCGACGTGTGCATTTCGACGGCTTAGACCCTGGAGCCTCAGACTGGCTTTGTGCCAGTGGGTTCAATGGTGAGGCAGGACATTTAAACAAAGTAGCTTCTTGCTCCTAGTAGTAAGGCACTTGTTACTAGAAGCGATGCACTTGTTACTAGTAGCTTCTTACCTCATTTTTTAAAAATCTCCTTACAAACTTGGGATGACGAGACATTCAGGCGATGGCCACCTGCGACATTGACGAGACTTGCTTGGCCATCACAGCATTGTCGCACCGTCACAGCTTGGGCTTGGCGAACGAAGTTCACGTAAAAACACGATACAAAAAGAAGAACGAAGTTCGCGACCGGTTTTCTTTGTTTGTCTGTGACGGTTCTCCAACCGTCCAACTTGCAGCATTGCACCTGTAAGGCACGATTGAAGAACAAAGATTGAAGATTTCCCAATCAGTTCAAGGAATCTTCAGTCTTTAACCCATAAGTTTGGGTCTGGTCTCAAACTCTCTAAGTACTGCCTTCTTCAGCTTTTGGGGATTTGCAAGATTCGAGGTGAACCATTCATGGCGTCAATGTAGTTGTCAGTTGTGCAGGAGCTGGGGTTTTGAACAAGTAAATTTGCTTGATTTAGGAACAATTGGAACAATATTGAGATTTGATAGCAAGAATAGTTCGTTTTGAGGAAGCTAATGCTAAGCGTATAAGGACATCCCCCCACATTTCCCTGTCAGGGCAGTCAGTTTGATGTCAGGATGGGCTTGGATCCTTTGCAAGTCGAAATTACAAAATGGCCCTAGTAGCAAGGACGCTAGTAGTAACAGGTGCCACGCTAGTAGTAACAGGTGCCTTACTAGTAGTAACAAGAAGCTACTAGGAACAAGTGCCACGCTAGTAGTAACAAGTGCCTTACTAGTAGTAACTAAGAAGCTTCCAGGAACAAGTGCATCGCTTCTAGTAACAAGTGCCTTACTAGTAGTAACTAAGAAGCTTCCAGGAACAAGTGCATCGCTTCTAGTAACAAGTGCCTTACTAGTAGTAACTAAGAAGCTTCCAGGAACAAGTGCATCGCTTCTAGTAACAAGTGCCTTACTAGTAGTAACTAAGAAGCTTCCAGGAACAAGTGCATCGCTTCTAGTAACAAGTGCCTTACTAGTAGTAACTAAGAAGCTTCTTAGTTACTACTAGTAAGG